CAGTTCCGTCACTAAGCCAATGGCGGTGTTCAGAAGAAAGGTCCTCGGTTGTATGCTGACGGATCCAATCCTCTGTAATACCGCGCAAGGGGCGCCGAGCACGATTCGCAAGTACAGCAGCGCTTCCGGATAGAGAAGTCGAGGGACGATCTAGCTCAGTTACTATAGTCAATGGAGCCGGACGCAAAAAGGGTGTATTAATCTCCAGCTGGTGCAACGGAGATTCTTCCGATGTTTCACTGCTGAAGCTTAGTCGACGTAGGTGACCACTATCGGCTTGGGGATACGGTGAACCCCAACTAGCTGTGACAAACTCTCTATCGTCTCCGGAACTACGATTAGATGGTGGCGTCCGAAGATATTCGGATGCCCGACCCGGCAGTGTCGGTGCTCGAAGCGGCGGGAGCACCGGAGACGATTCACCGTCGTCGTCGATAGTTGACGCACTCGAGACAGGGGATGACGACCTCGTTGAATAACTACGATATGGCGAAGCTCGAGTGCCGTCCTGTGCAAAAGCACGAGGAGGGGTTGACGGGTTTGAAGAATACGTCTTTGGGGGGCTGAACCGAGGTATAAGTTAGCCCTTGATTCTGATATCTCAGGAATCAAGAAAAGATACGGAACAATAGGCGGAGTCAAGACATACCACGACGAGATCAGCGCAGACAAGGCATGGGTCGCCTGCTGCTAGATCTCCAGACAACTACTCTCACGTTTATCCGTGCACCTCCTTCGTAGCCCGACGATAATTGGAATCGGGGTCGTGGGCCAACTAAGGGGTAAAAGTTGCGGTACTGGACAGCGTGGGGATTGTCGCGACGCGTCCCTTGTGGGAAAAAAAGAAAAAAGAAAAAAAAAAAAGAGGGCTCACCGAGGCGATCGGGAAGGAGAAAAGAGCGGAAGAGAAAATATATTAAAAGAATGGTAAAAATACGCAACTCTCCATCGATTTCGCCTTGCTTGTCACTATCCGCCTTGAATCCAAGAAGGAGTGATTTACATAAGATGGACTCGATAATAAAAGACGCGATGGAGAGCTTCGGACAGAAATGCTGCAAGCTGGTGCCCCTTGGTTGCGAGAAAAACCCAAGTTGTTCAAAAAATTGTCTAGGATTGCCTGTTCATGGAAATTGCTATTTAGATCTAGCCTAGTGTTAAATTGGATACGATGAAAGATACATGTAATCGGCAAGTGCTTCCACCTATATCTATACTATAAAGGGTCCGTGCATTATGTATCTTTTAACGGTATTTTATCAGCCCAAATTCGCGTTGTGGACATATGGACTTGCATAGCGCTTTCCCCTCGTCCATAATTTAATGGGCCTTCCCATCGCGTTGGAATATCCACTCCTGCCACTTTGCTGCCACCTATTAGCTAACCGTACCTATTCGTTCTACCATTTAAAACACTTATAGGTAGGTAAGTAATGCGATAGAGCGATCTCTGATTAGTAGGATTTGTAGCTAAGGCTGGTAAAATATTAACGGCCATTCCGTCCCTTCTTTCTTTCTTCTTTTATACCCTACCTACCTAAGGTAATACAAGCATGTCTTAAGAATTACCAGCACAATAAACTTCATCTACCTCTACTTAGTGGTATGAATATACCTAAATCATCGTGCGATGACGCAAGCTTCCTAACCTCTGAATATATTTTCGAGAGCGATCGCTTCTACCATCCTATACCTGCTTATACGCAGTGTACCTCAAGCACTTAAGGTAGCATTTACAACTCGGCCATACTAGTCAGTTTGCAATACATACAAAAAACACGTGTACAATTTATAAGGTATATCTCTTGCCAGCTCAGTCTTGTAACCGCAAAGAGAACGGAACCGAGACTGAAGCTGAGTCCACTTATATGAGCTCACAGCATATGATCATAGAACCGGATAATAAGCTACAGGGCAACTTTAATGTGGTTAGACAACTCTTGAGTTTTTGAGGTATTAGGGCTGGCGCATACCTATTCACGACAGGGGAATTTTAATGCCAATGCCGAGGCATAGACACCAATTCAATTAGGGAATAGTTGATATCTCAAACTACCCAGGTAGGTACCTTATTGACGTAATATGGATTATCTACTTGCGTTGCAAGAAGCTATTCAGATGAAGACCATATTTAAGTGCGTTCCAAGTGACGTAAGGTTCGGCAGCCCAAGAGTCCATATCTATAATTAGATGACCACTCGACAAGCCATCATCATCCACGCATATGTAATCACAAGAAATAATCACTATAGGTCACGTATAATGCCCCAAAATTGCGAAGAGATGCGCGAGTCATAGTCTAGTTAATAGGATGATCATCAATATTGAATGGCAGCGTGTTTTGTCCCCATTCCGTAATTGACCAGTTGGGTTTTACTCGGAACATCATCCCTGACAGCAATCCAGTTGACAATATGAGAGAGCATTCGAAATACTTAGAGAAGGCTGTCTTCATATTTCTTAACCACTCGAGTAGGTCTAGAATGATAACTATGAGGTCTTCTAATTTACTTACCGTCTGTATTAACTATACAATTAACCCCTTGCACTATAATTTTCAAGACAAGCAATATGACGATATACTTTAGATCTAACTGCAGTAATTAGGTAGTCATAAGAACCCCTACTAATTAGCTGGCTCTGATATAGGCGACAGAGGTTCAAATATAGTATAAGTTAAAGAATAACAAGCATAACTACAATACTAATATAGAAAAGTACCTAGTTAGCTTAGTGCACGTGTTCAACACTTAAATAATACATCGTCTTTCTTCAACGGTATCAACAACGTGGGGTAAATAGAAACAACTAAAAGGACCAATAGTTAAGACAAAAAAAAGGTTATCTAAAAATAGAGGGTATCACCAAAACCTAAGACATGACAATTTTAGGGGCCGAAACTCAATCCTTCTAGAGGTTAGCGATGCGCTGAATGTAAAACGGACCCGGATTCCAGACACGGGGCTGGACGGCCGAGGACCTGTCGGCTAGACGCCACGGCGTAATATTCTGTCCAGACTAGTCCGATCAAGCCACTTCAATTCAACGTTTTCTACATAGAAAGCGAGGCGCGCGACCCCCCGCATTCTTTAGGTAATAGTGTAGATCCTAAGGGGTCCTATAAAAAAGGCAGGAGGGTCGTTGGAATCTCTAGCCTCTACCTAACTAAGCAGCTAATTCCACAAATAGCGCGGTAATAATAGGATTGTCTTAATTGAGAATGTCAGAACAATCAAAATCGCATCCGTCACACGTAGATTGCGGCGTAATTGGCAGTTGGGCGTCCGGGGAAGAAACTATTGCGGGACTGTGTTTCGAAACAGTAGCTTGTGTTGCGAATAGAATCCATCGCAAGCGCTTGAGGTTTGTCGTCATAGGGGAGATTCAACGGTTGCGAACTAATGCATATTGAGTCGATCGTTAGGTTAAGCTTGATTATAAGACTCTAATAGCCTATGAAAAGTTCTGTGCGTTATTCATCATGGTCTGATGGGTATTGCAGTATGCAACGTTGTCCGATCGACATTCATCGTAACTTGCAGCTTACTGCTTACCTCTTGACTACCAGGACTGCTTGAATAAATCAATTGAATGTACTGTAATTCCGGCTTGGCCAGCGGGCCTCCTGTTCTTGCATATGTGGCTGTGTGGCTGCTGATTTCGGATTCAGGGCAGATTTAGGGCAAGTCCTAATCCATTTTAGTTAGACCCTGATGATCACTCCAGTCACTAACAAAATGGCGTTACGAAATGTTCATGTGCATCATGTGCATGCCTTAGGTACATGTATATGTATGCAAGTACAACAATTAGGTAGAGCATCTTCCAAGGACGAGGTAGATTTGGTTAACGAACAATATTTGTGTAGATTTCGGTAACAATTAATATACGGAAGTTCGAAATAGTAAATATATATTGATATTAGAGAAGTTAAAGGCAGACCCTATTTTTAGTTGCCTATCTTCAAAGTTGCAGATATGTAATCCGTAGCCTACATCCTCAGATTGGAAGTGGCGCGTCAGATACAGTATATTAGGTATGATAGGTACCTTCGTAAACGCATCCTAAATTCGGCCGATTCGGGTTCCTAAGGGAGAAAGGTTTTATGTACTAACTCATCCAAAAGGAAAAAAAAAAAGATCTAAGAAAGTGACCAACAAGAAAATGACAATCAACTGGTTCGGATGCAAAGCTTAATAGAAATCAGTAGATGCGCCACAAGCATCAAGACTTGAAAGTCAAATCGATGTTATTAGCGCTATTCAACAGTAAAGTTCAATCAATTATCTCACTAATGCATGTACGTACCATAGTACGATTCTGTCACGATACCCTGAAAAAGTAGAAGCCTGCAGACAACCCAGTTTTGTCCCAGTTGTCTAAGAAACCTATCAGATCCACCATCGGCCCCACCCGCCCCTTTCCTTTATCAAGCTGTGATTGGGTCTTTGACTAAAAATTATGCGCGAACCCTCACTTTACGCATCTTTGTGCAAATACGAACTGAATGTAACCATACTTACTCCAGTTACCCGCACCTCACTTTCCTTCCGCAGAATCCCAGACTCTCCGTCAGATTCTTCACATCCTTACTCTGGTCCTTACTTTGGTCATTCGTTTCTCTCCCTCATCACCCTATTATATCCATTCCTATTCCATCATTGCATTTTCCTTATTTTCCCCCGGAGGTGTTCAACTTTACCTCTACACACCTTACGCTCTTTTACTCAATTCCCTATTATCCGCGCAACATTCCGATAGCACAGTATAGCATTTCGCGTTGCGTGAATAACCGACGACGAAACAACTGGGTCTGACAGGCAAACCGTGCTTCAGATTTAAAATTAATATTCTCATCATCACCCATCCACGTGTCACATAAAACATCATCTCAATAAAAACCTCAAGAAGGGGAGGGACGGATATATCCATTAGTTTCCCACCCTTCTCAACTTTCGACTCATTCTAGTATCTAGTATTATTATACTCTACTAGTCGCCATGCATTCAACGCGGCTTATCCATCTAATGATGGCGGCACTCTCAGTGACCGCTGTCACTGGAGTAGCATGGCTCGATAATCAGCACGCTGGCGCAGGTCAACTCGCGGTCAGGGCGACGGATGATCTCATCTCAATTGGTCCTGGTCTCGACGCCGATTCTACCACCGATGCACCTGCTGCCGATCCAACCACATCTAGTGATGATGCAGCAGATGATTCGACGACATCAGCTCCTCCTGCGGAAACCACGTCTGATACCCCAACTACTTCTAATGATCCCACTCCAACTCCTACAACAAGTGATGAACCTACCCCAACGCCTACGACGTCCAACAACCCAACCCCGACAACTACGGGAGGAACGACAGTGACGACGCCTCCGCCAAACACGACTCGTACAACCCCTTCGTCCTCGGCCCCGACTCCTTCGGAGACATCCAGCGATGGCAATGGCGGTGATGACACAACCGAAGTTCCTCAAACGACGCCGCCACCTACTACGTCTACTTTCATCACCGTAATTACTTCTACTGACGCGGCAGGGCAGACCCATGTCAGCTCATCTTCCAGCGTTATCGTGTCGACGCCTTCTCCTGTTGCCGATACCAGCGGCGAAAACAAGCAATCCGGATTGAGCACGCAAGACAGGAATACGATCATTGGTGTTTGTGTCGGTGTTGGTGGCGCGATTGTCCTGGTAGCTGCAGGTGTACTATTCCGAAGACTCCGCAACAACAAACGAAGCCAGGAAGAGAATGAGGAGCTAGTCAGCTACGGCGATGGATTTGGAGGTCCCGGAACCGCGGAGAAGTCGGAACCTAGTGGTAGCACCGCCGGCCGCAGCCCGTTCCAGAGCACCCTCGAGAGCTACCACGCGCCGACGCATGCTAACGCTGCTTCTAACTTCTAAGCAGGGACAATATATATTATCCCAGCATCAATCTCGTCTCCTACAGATTATGGGGCGTTGTTTTAGTCCCGCCGGCGTTAGGGTTGAAGGTATTCATTCACATGACATCACATCGTCATTACGTTGCCCGCATTTTCATAAGCCGATATCCACGAGGAATAGAAAAATTATCTCCTGTATTTTCAAGTTACGACGTGTACTAGAAGAAGGCAAGGAGGACCGCGTAGTCCCACGAGACCACGCGCAAAGTTAGTCGTCTAATTGCAAGCAGCTCTGGTTAGAGGCGGCAGATAGACTCGGCCGAGCACGAAAGGAGGGAGGAAGCTCTACGACGCGAGTCTACGTAGCTGAGAGAAATTAAAGGAGAGTGTGAGTCTTTGTATACAGCTTCGTAATACCAGCTTCTTCGATTCTGCAAAAATTAAAGTATATACGCATTAATGCCAAAGTCGTCCCTATCACTTATACATGTTGTTGATATATCGTCACAATCCCGTACAGCGGGAAACCGGGTCGAACCTAATTGTTTGATCTAGCGTCCGCCATGTCCACTATGCATGTGCATGCGATTGACTTTCTGCACGGGTTCCCGAGACGTCGGGACGGGTTGGGTCCGCGTTAGACGGGCTTTAACTTTACTTTTATTTCGAACGGGGTCGGTGTCCGGTTTTTAGACTTTGACGGGCTATCCGCCGGTAAGGTTCCAGTTGTCTAATGGTGTCTAGGTAGGTGTGAAGTTTATGCAGGGCAGCAGCCTTCAGGGTTCTGGGATTATATCAAGACTTTAAAAGTATTGATGTTGCCTAATAGCTTTTAAGGCTGGCTTCGTTTCTAAATCGTGCCATCGCATACTCTACACACAACATACAGTATTCATAAAATAGTAAGCTACTATGTATACACAGGATTCTAGTTGGATCTTGGTAGCATTTATATATGTGTAGTTACAGTAAATAAGCCACGATACGATTCAAATCGATACATAAATGGTTGCTACTCGATACGATTTCTAGTGCCGTCTCAGGATCGTTTCAGCAGCGCCATCTGCGTATCCGTTCACCTCCGAGTATCCCTCGGACCAATCAACCGTCTTAGTCGACTCGAGCTTTCCGCGTTTCAACTCATTAGTTATGAGCGTCATGTTATATAGGTAGTTACACGCTTTGCGAAGACGGTTCTTGGGAGGTTGGACTGTTAGATAATATCTGTGTGGTGAATGGTGTGTACGATAGGTATAAGTGGTAACTAACTGACCAACTAACTAACTACATAAAAAGTACCTAGTTAGTTAATTTTATCAAGGAGATTTATTTCGCCTCGTTTCCGTGGTGGTATTATTGATTTATTCATCATCTCATCATCATCTCCTAGTCGATCGTTCCGAACGACGCAATTTTATTATACGAGATTCGGAAATAAAGCGCACCGAGAGACGGCCAAAGCCATGAGGTGCCGAGGCGCCGTTACCCTGTCTCTGCTGGCGGGACTCCTCGTCGGAGTGATGGCCGGCGACTTGATCGAGGAGATGCGACGGGATTTCCAAATGGGTTTATTCGGGCGGCAAGCAATATCTGATATCCAGGTTCGTAGTTACGCGCCGGCTCCGTCATTTAGAGCTTATTATGTTATTCAGTTCAGATCGTTATGTCTGACTTTATAATCGATGTAGCAATTTAACCCGAGTAGTCCTCTAGGAGGCAAGACTCCAGCAAAGGTATATACGTTCCTTTCGTCTCGATATATACAAGCGGAGTAAAGAACGATTATACGAGCGAATTAATTAGCTAACAACTAATCTATAGATAGAGTTCGACCAAAGCGATACAGAGAAGCCTTTCAAAATCACCAACAGCCGCATATCAGAAGGCCAGACGTTTGTATGGCACTGCCCTTATTCTCTCACTCCTCTTCTTCCCCGTCACAAGACATAGCCGTAAAATAAAAGCCTTGTTATTCTCCCTCTCCACCCCTTAGCCTATTAGCAACAAGTCAACATTCCCCTTAACCAAAACAACCACAGCTGCTAATCATCCAACAGAACGACTTCAGCACCGCATCAAACCGCGTCTGCGACGACCTGAAGAACGACTGCGCCGACACCGCCAATCAGAACGGCAACAAGGCCTTCAGCGTACAAGATTGCGATAAACAACGTGGTGAGTTTGCTTTCAGCCCCTAATCTCCTACTGGCGAGGCGATTGGGGACCCTCACGGCTTATTAGTAGTCGGCGTTACTAGAAGCTAACGTAAACTAGATGATTGTATGACAGCAAATAAGCCTACCGAAGAGGACGGCGAATTTCTTTACTTCTGCGACTGAATGAAGCGTTATACTAGTTTGGTACAGAATGGCTTGCGGGTTTAGTCGTATAGGCGCTCAAGATCATACATATCAGCTTGATATACATAGGTAGACTTCTCAGTACGCAAGGGGCAAGTCCCCAAGCTAGGATTGGGGACACGACATTAGGTACTTCACCTACTAGCACATTCTAATTGTCCGGTTAACTACTACTTCGTACTTCATGAGCAACCAAAGGGTTAGAGGCTGGTTGAAGAAAGTATAGTTGAAAAGTTCCCAGCAAGGGTCGGCACAAACAAAATCAAAAGACACTCTTTTAGTGGTAACACGTAGGACATATTTACTAGACAACGAACACCATAAAATACACTTGAATAACTAATCATAAATCATAACTAGTCCGCTTAATCCCGGGTATACACCTCCCCTTACTTCAAACGTGTATCCGAGTAAGGGACGGGTATCATCCAGGATAGAAGCAGACAATGTTGAATAATAGCGGCGAGCAATAGCATCGCGCGGCTCTGTCTTTAGTTTTGTAGCACTAGTGAGAGTTCATAAAAGCATAAAATGACATTTCGCAAACGAGTTATACACAGGTATGCCTGAGGGATCTGCCGGCCCTCAATTCAGCCAAGTACGCCGAAAAATAAAAAGATAAAAACTCATAAACGAAGCTTTCTCCTCTGTATCGAAACGCCTGTTCTGTAACCTGCCATGCCATGCCAATTCTCAACGACGCGATTATGCTTTGTGACACCGAAACGTCATCATTACCTCCGGACACCTTTCCGAATTAGCCACCCTCTGGAATATGAACAAAGGAAAAAAGTAAGGGGATTGACAAAGCAGCGCTGTGTCAAGCCAGGTGGTGGTATATCATCGTGGGACTCGTTTACGTTGGTACATTAACCCGGAGAAAAGGGAGGATGAGGAGAGCGATGTTTCTTCTTTCGTTACCAGGTAGACTATACCCTGGCCGGCTGCTTCTTCCGAACCAGGAACGGGCTCGGCATCTCGTCCCTCTCCGGATCCCAAACGGCGGGTTCAGCGAATCGGTCTCTAGAACTGCGCTTGGGGCTAACATTCACAGACTCGACTGGTCGACCGCCGGCTCTGGCCTGCTGAAGCTCAACAAGGGTGCGACCTTTGATGTTGTTCTTTGTTACTACCTTAGTGAGTGCCGGTTCTGGTTCCTTCTTTAGCGAGGATTTGCGTTGTCCACCGTTCTCCGCATTTTGCATGCTAAGATTGGCAACCGAAGGGATCTTGCTAAGCCGTCGGTTAGGAGAATCGCCCTTCTCTCTCAAAGCACCATTGCTAGGTTTAGCCCGGATTCGGAACTCAGGAGCAGATGTAGGTAGAGGCGGGGTTGGCTTGTTAAGGACCATAGAGGTTTGGTTTCTTAGACGGTTGATGGGAGCCGTCTTCGCTGAAGGAAGAATCGGGCGTTGGGGCCCGAAGGGATTTTTATTCGACCGCGGTGGGCGAGTCGGGGATGGGATTACATGACCGTCGTCGTCGTCCGAATCAGATGAGAACGGATCTCTTCTGCCTGATCGGATCTCTTCTTCATCCTCAAAGTCAAATATGGGCGGCTTGTTTGCAGTTGGGGCCTTAGTAGCGATGTTACGTCGTGGTGATAGGGACAGGGATGCAATAGCAACCATTGGGGATGGGGATGCCATGTCGACATCCATCGACATTGGCGTTCCAGGATTGCGCTCGAACATGGTTTGAGCGCGAGCAAATGGCGCACGTGAGCTGCGCTTAAGGGGGTGTTCTTCGGGAGAGTTAACAGAAAATTCGGTAATATCTGTGGTGGAGGGAAACTCGCTGTCCGTACTACCAGCCATGGACAGGAAGAAATTCGTCCTGGATACTTGAGATGATGTGAATTCGTGAGTCTCAACCGGGCCAAACGAGACTCTCTTCTTCTGTAGTTCTTCTTGTACCCGCGCTTCCACTTCGGCTTCAAAACGTCGTTGAAGTTGTTCAATCTCTTCATTGACAAGGCGGTCGATTTCTAATCGAGCCTTGACCTCCCACTCTCGTCGTAATTGAGAGTCGATCTCTTGTCGGAAGTTCAACTTATCGGCCTCGATGTTAGCTAGCTTCTCTTCGACTTGCTTTAGCTTATTGCTGAGCACATTGTTGCGCGATTCCAACTCCATCTTGAATTCTACGGCCTCTCGCTCTTTACGCATTAAGCGTATAACCGGAAGGTTGAGCAAGGTTGCCGTGTCAGGGCGTAGATCTGGATTGACCCTGAGACAGTCTTTGATAACGGCCATAAGCTCCCCTGAGTAAACTCTAGGAAGTGGTGGGACCTTTCCCTCCTTGATCTTCTGAACGAGCTGAAAGTGAGTCTTAGCATTAAATGGAGGCTCACGCGCGCAAAGTTCGTATATTATACAACCCAGCGACCAGATGTCTGATTTAAGAGTATACCTCTCAGCAGCGCATATCTCAGGAGACATATAGAACGGCGTCCCAACGTATGTGGATGCAAAATCGTGCGATTGTATCATCTTGGATAGACCGAAATCACCGAGCTTGACAGAATTATTCTCCCCGAGGAAGACTACCACAAGTTAGCACATACCTCCTATAACAAATTGCACATATCCAGCTCACGCACCGTTCTCAGGCTTCAGATCTCTGTGGAGAATCGTGACAGCTCCCTGTGGCGCCTTTGTTTTCCCCATCGTCACTATTTCAAGGACATTCTTGCCTACCGACGGAGGATTTACGCCATAGTGACATCGGTATAAGGCGGTGACCAGCTGTGAGAATATCTCCCATACGAATTGCTCCTCGGCGTACTCCTTGCGATTAGCAAGGCCCTTGATCACCCGACCGAGATCGCCATTGCCACAATACTCCATGTAAAGATATAGATCTTGAGTCTCTTTGAGATGTTCGCGATGGTAATAACCAACAATGTTGGGATGTCGGAGAGTAGAGAGGATCTGGAACTCAGCATGTAGCTGTTCACGTTCCTTTTGCGACATTTTCAAGTAGCTGATCTCCTTTCGGCAGAGGATCTTGCCATCTACCTTCCGTCGGATCTTTCGAATGACGCCGAAGGAGCCATGTCCTACATTGGCAATGTTAGAGGGTGTTCATGAACATTAGAATGAAAGGGATGGATGACAGGTTCGTCAACGGCAATAAAAACCTACCTATTTTCTCCAGGGTTTCGTACTGCGAACTGATAGATTCTGCCATAGTGAACTGAATTGCGAGTCGCTTTTCGAATTCAATGATTTATGACTATGCCATAGACAACAAAAGCAAGAAAGAGACTAAAGAGGTTGAAGGCAAAGCTATTGGAGGGATTGAAGGGGGGTAAGCCAGAGCTATTCGATGCTGCTCCAGCTTAGGACTTTTGGGGGGGAATTGATTATCTTGGAGTATTATCTTACTACTTGTTGTTGAATAAAGAATTTGGTTCTGGAAATGGTTCTGGAAACTGCAAGACAAGGGCAGACGGGCAGAAAATCAGAAAATGGCTGTCCATGTGATGGATCCGATCAATCTGCACAGGACACCCCAGTAGATACTTGAGCCCTGTGCTAATTTCTATGACAGTTTTTGTATCTTATGTAACACTGCGTGTATTCAGTCAACAAATCCACCCGTGGCCACGGCAACTGCTTAGCTCAGAGTGGGGCGACAGGGTATAACGGTCGAACTCTATTCATTGCTAGTTAAAATTAGTCTTAGCGTTGCTTCAAACCTTTATCGATAAGCATAGCTGTATCTGTGTACGGACCGACGGACTGACGGATTGCTTTTTGACCCATCTTCCACGTGATATTCCCGATTCCCGATTCCATATCACTGCTGATGACATACATCTGACTTATCTAGCTTAAGTAGCTTATCCAATTGAATCATGTACTTACCTTACCGTCTTGCTATGGGTTGACATAACTGTATATATTCGGCTCATTTATCCTAAACTGTACATATACTGTTTATTATAATATACCGCTTAAATTATTTACGTATCCCTATTTTTACCATTTATTAGTTGAATAGTATTGGTACGGCTCCTTCGCTGCACGTGCCAATATTTTAAAACGTATATGGGATAGAGCCATATTTCTACCATTTAATTGAATAAGCGGTATAAATATCGTTTAATTAAAATGAGCGGTTTAAAAAATTGAACCGTTTAAGGATATAAACCGACCAATCAAATAAGCCGTATACTTATAGCTCAATACATAAGTGGTATATAATAGATTTAATTAAATAAACCAACCAATTAAATAGACCTAATCAAATAGACCTAATCAAATAGACTTAATCAAATAGATTCAATTGATTCAGTATATGGTCTTATATGTAGCCTTGTATGTGGCTTTGTATGTGGTATGTGCCTGTATGTGGTGTGTGCGTACCTGCTCTGTTAGATACATATATACCATACTAAGAATATCATGTACGTGCGCGCGTAACGTGACTACTGATATTGATTAGTCTATTTAAATAATGTCCGTAACTTAACCAATTGAAAATTAAAACCTGTAACATTGTGACTGTGATATTTAAGTAAAAAATAAATATGCGACATGTAAAAATAATAAAAAGTATAGCCTCATATAATTAGTATGGCAGCACCATACAATTAGTATAAGGCTATACCTCCTTTTTGTTACATATGCCTATACACCATATAAACCGTTCAGATTTTGAGCGGTTCAGCTATAATGAGCCGTACTTATACCGTATAAACACGGCTTATTATATAAGCGGCTTATTTTGGTTTAGCGTTCCTTTTTTAAAACGTTTATAATTTTTTAAACTACTCAATTAGGTTTAACGGTTCGAAATTCCAACTGCATTTTTTCCATATAAATATTAGTGCGGTTCAATTTTTTGGATAGTATATATACAGTATATATACCGTTTGGTAGACCCCCCTATAGACGCTAAGGTAGTCCAATTGTTACCAGTTACATGTACCGTTGAATTAACCATGCATCACCACTCATTAGTTGTATGGTCGGAGTTATCGGACTTGACGATTATTTGAAAATTCACTTCATCTTCTTGTTGTGCTTTGGTCAACCATGGTTCTTCGAAAGCACGAGCTAGAAGCAAAGCTGAAAGATGATATCGAATTAGTTCGTAGTGGTGTATTACGCGATGAGAACCCCCTGGATCTTAGCGAGGAGTTTAGCGAACTCTTAGAAGCATGTCGAAGAGGTGATCTGAGGCGAACTCAAGAGTTAATTTCTGCCGGTGTCAATATAAACGGTAAAGACAGGTTTGATTATACTCCTCTTATCGTTGTGAGTAGAACTTGTTTTCTTGTTTATTGCGCTTGAACATTCCTAGGAGGTAGCTGACTGATGTCTAGGCAAGTCTATGCGGGCATTATGAGTTGGTTGAGCTGCTTAGTATGTACCTAATAGATCTTCATAATCTTATACCATATTCAGATATTGAGTCTTGAAATATTCTTGAAACTTATACTGACTCTAAACGTTATAGTCGAGTCTGGCGCCTTAGCAGAGCGAGATACGTTCCAGGGAGAACGATGTATCTATAATGCTCTAAATGACAAGATCCGGAATCTGCTTTTGAAATACGACTACTCAAAGTCTACTGATCCCTTACAGCCATGGGCCGCTCATATTAGCGCATTGCTGACTAGAGATACGCCGAAGACTTCCGATATAACGTTGATAGCAGCATCAAAATCGTTCGAGCTTCATAAGTTCCTTCTTTCTGCCAGGTCACCATACTTCCAAGGGAAACTCACGGAGGCGCCCGAGATAGAGACTTGGAAGCTACCTCAGTCAATACCAATTGAGTCTTTTCAGGTCGTCTTGCGATATATATATCTCGGTGACATTCCAAGGGAGTTAGTTGACGCCCGAAGCGGCAGCACCGATGAGGAGGTCCTAACTGGTATTGATAAGATCAGTAAACAGTTAGAGATTGATAAGCTATGGGAAGCTATCCTCTCGGGCAGTGATCGGCGATTAGCGCGACAGCGGCATCAGGATGAGGTTAATCGAGCTCAAGAACAAATCCAAGGCTTCTTTCAGGAGAAGGTCCTCGGACACAAGATGGTTGTTGACACCCGGAAAGCCCACGAAGTCAAATGGCCCCATGATAATTCCATATTTGCGGATTGTCTCTTGCGAGCTGATGAGGGAGGGGAAGAAGAAGACGAGAATCTTGATAAACAAGAAGAATCGAACGGAATTCCCATTGGTCCGGGTGCTGAATCACGAAAGCAGAATGACACTAAGAAAGTTTGGAAATCCGTTTTATATCCTGCGCATAAGGCTATGCTTATTCGTTCACCATACTTCGAGACCATGTTTTCCAGTCAGTTTCGCGAGGCCCAAACATCGGAACACCTACATATCATCAAGATAGACTGTCAACCCGAGATCCTCGAGCTTATCCTAACATTTCTCTATACTGAGAGATCTGAATGTCCTCTTGAGCTCGGCCTCGATCTGCTTTATGCATCCGATATGTTGTTCCTAGACAAGTTGAAAAACAAGGCCGCAGTCGCCATTAGCACATTAGGGAGCGGCAATAATAACGTCCTAGTCGATCGGACGCATACTCACGAAGGCGACGAAACTGGCGAAATAGAGGTCGAGCCTATTAATGTATACGACGTTATACATGCCGCCTGGGATTTGAGGGTTCAGCGATTGGAAGAGTTCGCTGCTCGATATCTTGCGTATCGGCTGGAAGACTACATCGACGAGGAAGAGTTTACCGAGCTAATTCATGAAAGTGCTTCGAGACTCAAGACCCGAGAAGAGACGGATACGATCGAGTTGCTGGATGATATTCGGTATTACTTATCTGAGCGTTTCAGGTTACGGTTTGAGGACGCCGGGCTAGACGAGATGATGGATGAGAACGGCGAGATCAGCGCAGAGACGGCGGAAGTGCTAGCTGCACAGACAAACGACATTACTGCGGAAGACAAGGACGCGAAAGGCATCGTTGGAGCAGAAAATCCCGACACCATTTCTGCAAATGCTGTTATAGCCGAGGCCTTGACGGGCCCAGCCGGCGTAGTTAGAACCCTTGACGGAGAGCTCGTCGAAGATGAGTTCGCTTCCGATGCTATCAACTACCAGCTTCTACTACAGAAGATCGATATAATGCTAGAGAAACTAAAGCTAGATGCGTAGAGACGGGGTTGCATTAGATGAATAGGTAGAGTTTGGACACATAATAATTGATATCTGTTGTCTTAGAAAATGTTCTATAAGCCATTTCGGCGACGGCTCATTATTTGCGGATAGAGCTCTATGTTCGGATGTTGGTATATTTACACCTTGGGTCAGTCGTATATCTCGCGACACTCGCGATGTGTGCTCTTGCACATGTATTTCTGCAGCGAGACGATCTTCCAGCCAGCTACCCGGGTATCCTTCCATGCTAGTGTACACCATTACCTCCCTCCCCCCCGTCTCGGCTATCACGTTTGCTAGACCCTCAATGGTATGAAGTTCCGACAAGAAGTTCAGCACAGGGGGCGGCCCGTGAGCTGACGGGGACTTAGCAATACCCGGAGTCTACGGCTGACGCATCTGCAGTCTACGTGTAATTACGTGGTGCATCCCCATGGCTTTCAGTCTGGGTAGGTATAGTGGTGATACAGACAATAGAGGTTGGATGAGGTTCAAGAATAGGATGGATCAGTTGACTAATCTAAGCCGGGTAGTCCCTGCAAGTGAGTGTAGCTGTTATGTAGGCGTCTATGTAGGTGTCCGGCCTTGTAGTTTAAATGGTTATTGCTAATCCACTATGCTAGTTGCGGTATCAAGACTAGAATGTATATATCATGATGATTCTACCAACCAAGGCTACTATGTATTCACGATGACAACCCCTACGACTGTGAGCATTTCTTGTCTTTCTGTCGTGAAATAGTGTAGGTGATCTAAGCTCCATCGTAATCTAGCTTCATCCATCAGCTCTCATCTAGAAAGGCTCATCGGTAAGCGCAGCGTACGCAGCTCCCCGCAGTCATGAGATATGGTTAGGACCAGTAATCCTGGTATTCGCTCGAAAGGAACTGGCCGTTTCGAAGCTGAGTCGAATCATCGCGTAGTAACATATATCGTCGGTGGCTCTCTACTCTTGCATAGGTCGTCTAAGGTACATGCTACGTGAATCATTGGATGTAGCCGTCGAATAGGCTCACTATTCCAGCCTACTTTTAGAGTATGACA